TCGAGCAATTCGACTTACAAGTTGCCTAATATAATAAGCTTAGGAAGCGGTATAAAAGAAAATTTCTAGAAATCTCGTTAGCCTTCGTCGAAAAAGAAAAAAAAAAAAAAAGAAAATTAACGAAATATCGTAAATTCGACGAATTCTTCAAACGAGTCATTGATTCTATCTCTTCTATCAAAATCCCCCACCCCGCTCCTCATCTTTATTATATAATTTATATAACAACAAAGAAATGCTTACAGCTTACATTTCGATGTCAATTCTCACGTAACGTAATTAATTAACACGAAGGCAAAGAAACATGTATCAATTACCAAAACCAAAGCAATATTATCACACGAATAACAATATTAAATAATCCTCTATCATGAAAAATTATTCTATCGAGGGATAATCGATCCGCGATGAGAAAGAGATATAGAAAGTTGGAAAAATTTGCGTTAAGTTTATACGGCTCGTTGACGTCAATCCTGTTATCGTATCGAGATGCAATTTCACGAGATGCGCGAAAGAATTCGCCGTCCGGTAAAATTTCATTGGAGAGGAGCTCGAGCTCTTAGGAGAGCCTTGTGACGTCAATCCCCTTATCTCGGTGACGTCGATACACGTTGAAAACCGCCATCTTTTTTTTTTTTAAGACAAAGTTCTCTCGAGCGAAAGAAAGTGAAAGAGATTCGTCTCCTCCTCGTCGAGATTATCCCCTCGAAAGAAAGTCCCTTTTCCTTTTTTTTTTTTTTTTTTTGAACTTTTCTTTCAACCCCCTGATATCCTATTCCCTTTTCAGATATTTTTTCGCCTAGCAACGCCACGTGACGAAGAGAATGCGAATACGATTTGATTGACGAGGATTCATTCGCGAAATTCTGATTTCTTATGATGCTCTGATGAAAAATTTATCGATACTTATTTACTTTTCTTATTATTCTTCCATCTTATTGTCTCTTCTTTTTAAATGAAATGTTAGGCGGAAGAACTTGAATTGCATCGTGGAAAAAAGGGTGTAAAGATTCGTTGTTGGTGAAGTTAATTTGTCGATATATTCGTGCGATTTAAAAACTTGGAAAGAATATATGTGCTCGGTTTTAAAATATATCGTGCGATAAATTACTAGTCAAATTATATTAAAAACAATTTTCTACAGCCCACAGATCGACAGAGTTCTTCGAGTTCTTATTGGAATTAGATGAATAAATTTCCTCCAAGTTGAATTGGAAAAATCGAAGTACGAGTAAAAAAGAAACGAGAATCTATCGATATCTCGTATCGTTTCTCAAAGAGAGCGAATTCGTTCATTCGTTTGTTCGAGCCGTCTCGATCGTGGACACCAACAGACAACTTTTTGCTCCTGTTTGGTGTTTCCCCCTAGCGAAGTGGATCGTCGCCCCTGCATTCTAACCGCGACCCTCGAAAATTCCGCTCGTCGCTCGGATTCTGAAGCCCGATTACACCCGTCCGATCGAACGCAATGCGGACCAGCATCAAGGCAAACAACCAACTTTCGTCCCAAAGTTGACCTGTTGACGTTGAAAACACGGGTGAACGAGGCGTCGACTTTCTATCTACGTAACAAGATCACAGTCTTATTATTATAGAACTGTGCGTATCTCCACCTTTTTTTATCTTATTCTCGAATGAATAACACGTATATAAATTCCGTACATATAAATAACTGGAATTAGAACGTACAAGATGTTGATATATATATATATATATATGTTCGTGAAATACTTTTTGAGAATTGATTTTAACACCTCGTAATAATAATAAATATATATTTATATAAAATATAAATATTCTTACTGTAATTTCGCGTTGGATATATAAATTAAGAATCTGTTCATACATTGTCTTGATGCGCGTTGAAAATACAGGAAGAAAAATTTCACAAAGAATCGTGTCGAATAACGTAATCCTACGCTTCATACGAACGTTATATTAATTTTATCCTAATGAAACACGCGTTTTGCCATTTCCTTATAAATATTCCTCTAATATTCCATCGTAAATATTTCCTCGTGAATCAGGCTCCCCTTTTACGCGTCGAGCACGGTACGAAATATACGGTACGAGACGCGGGATGAGTCACGCAAACACATATTAGGATCGTTGCCAAAAGATCGATTGATAGGGACAATAAAACTTATGATATAGCGGCCCATACTATTCGCTTGGGTGGAGATCCGTTTGATACTAAATTTACCGATCGATGCTTGCTAAACAAAAAACCGTGTACAAACCGTGACAAGAAGCTGTTCCAACGAGTCATTTCGTTAAATTATAATACCTTTCTTTTAAACTTGAAACATTTATCATTTTTCTCCCTTGAATTTCGAATAAGACGCTCTTATAAGCTTCTTTACTTTTCTCAACGAAAGATCCCTTCATAGATCCTGTATCGTCTATTAAAAAGAAAGAAAAGGCCGAGACGTATCGCAGGAAAGGAAGAAAGTTTATTAAAAATATTCTAAGCAAGGAATCCGTGACACGAGAAAAATCCATCCACTGGAACCGGAATCTTTCATATTTCTATTTTTCCCCAAGCAAAATATCCTCTCCCCCTCCCTCCGTAAAAATTCTTCCGAAATTCCGCCATCGTTCGTGAATAATTCTTGTCAACGAAATAACGTATTACTAACTCTTTACTCCATCGAGTCCAAAATCTGCGCGACATCTTCGACATTGCGCGAGACTAAGAGTAAAAGACCAAGCCTTGACTCTTAACTCGTTAATTAGATTGTCCATCGTGTCCGCCGTTTATCGAATCGCTTTTGCTCGATATTTTGATTGATTCAATTAGGGAACTCATCTGGCTTCCGGAACGTTTTATTTTATCTCCTTCTTTTCCTACTTTCTTCTCCCTTTCTCTCTCATAGTAAATGGTAAATAAAATTCCACGCACTATATATATATATATATAAAGAATGTTTTTAGAATCCAACGATTTTTATCCAAATTTAAAAGATTCTCCTTTGACTTCTTAATTCCATTCGTTTGTTATTATTCCTCTTGTTAACTCTACTTTCGCACCAAATGCCAAAAATATACATTAATCCAAGCCTGCCTTATTATTTCTTTCATTCGTCCCGCTTATTTTTTAGCCTCGACACGTTACCTTAATTATCGAACAATTCCATCAACGAAGAAAATATCAATTGTGTCCAAAGTTATCTTTATTCGGAGATAACCTTATTATCATCTTCGTTTCCGGCGATTCGAGAATAAATTCGTGAAGGAAGAAAAAAAATTTTGCAGCCCGGATACTAAACTTCAATCGCGTCCCCCCCCCCACCGCCCCCTCCTCCTCCCCTCCGAATCGAAGATGGTACGGTACTGGCAACTGTTCGGTCGCGGAATGGAATTTTGGCAGACTGACAACGGCGTCGCTCGTTGTTTTTAGACGTTAAGTCCTCTGTCTCGGGTACACAGAAAGCGCACCTCTTTTCGCGATTCCATCCTTCGTATCGTCGCGACAACGACAATGTCTTCTGGACAAATGCGGATTAAAATGGGAGACGGCAGTGTTGGCGGTGGCGATTAGCGAAATGAGTTTGAGGATTTGAAGATTTGGCCGCGGTCTAATCCATCGAGTCGGTGTTGTCCATTCGTGCGGGATTGAGATTTGCTTAGGGATATACTCACACATATATATATATATATATATATACATCCGTGAATAAGGAATAATTCGAAGCTCGTATATAAGATTTGATATAAGATTGAAATTAAATATAATATAATTTCTTTAAATTTTTACTCTTTGAATTATTTCTGAGAAGAGGGAATTTCATATCTTCTAAGTCACGGTTAAGGGTGGTATTTTTAATGGTGGTGATGGATACGTTTTCAACTTGGATCGAAGTTTCATATTTTATTTCATTTTATCTTTCTACTTCAGCCACTTATATTCTTTTCCTTTCTCGTGCTCGAGCTATCTATTGTCTCTCTGTGTTGATTCTATTTTTAGAGTCAATTCTATTAGGTTAGGCTTAACTCTTCAAACTTGCTTCGTTTTTTTCTTCTTTTTTTTTTTTTTTTTTTCCTTTTATATACATTTTCTCCTCGATTGATTTCCTGCGAAAAATTATTAATTTTCATTTCAGTGTTAATTTAATAACACGTGGATGATGGTACCTTGGAATTTTGAAATTTGGTTGGATATCAAGAGAGAATTATGTGAAAATAACTTTTAGATTAAATTTAACAATAGATCTCAAATCCTCAAGGTCGGCACATAGTTTAAAACTGTCGTTCCTTTGTTATAAAATATCTTTAACTCTAGGTGACGGTTTCAACGTTATTGTAAGGATTATGATGTAATAAAATTTAAAAATATTTTAAATTAATACACTGGATATAAATTATATTATTCCAAGTTTCAATGTTTCTTTTTTCAAACCTTTGTACTTGCAACTATTCAACGATCAACTTAAAAATAAGAAGAGAATCGGCCATTAATAGACTGTTCAAAGAGACGGAACGACGTCATGAAACTTTGAAACATCTCCTATTTTTGCGCAAAACTTCCAAAGACCATTTTCATAATAATGCCCTCGTCAGAGCTTACCAAGCATAATCGTTTCACCTAACATCTCTGTGTATTTTAAATGCTAATGCCCTTGTATCGAAACTCTGCCCCAAACTTTCAGAAAACTTTCCCTAGATATAGCTCGTTCACAGTGTCTATCCACGATATTTAATTATCAATCGACGTTTCAGATTGTTCGAATCTATTATTAACACGTTCAATATGGATAAAGATAGAAGTCTCGTGAGAATTTCTTACTCCACGATGATTAAACTTACTTTTCCAATTTGTATCTTCTGAACAATTATTCAAATAATGAAAGAGGGAGAAAAGTTTTCCACGATAATCCTTTCTTTCGCAAACACATTTCGATACAAGTGTATTCGCCGTTTTACAATTATTTTTTTTTTTTTTGTTCTCGTCAAAAATCAACATTCCTTCGATTTCTACAAAATCGTCGAAACGAACTTACCTCTGGCGGTGAGCTTTTTCGTGTTTATGATCTTCGCAGCGAATTCGTGACCAGTGCTCTTCTGAACGCATCGTCGAACCACAGAGAAGGCACCCCTGAAACGAAGAGAGATCGTTAAATTCGCCAACAGGACACAAGATCTCGAGGAGAGAACGATAAAACTAACGAAATGCGATACGATTAATCCGTTAACGAGCTCGATTCGTAACTGCTCTCCAAACTTTGTGTACGTATGCATGTACGTTTGGCCTCCTCGAACGACTGGAATATATTGGAATATCGTTGGAGGCTGGAACTTTGTCGATTACACTATCGATTGTGCCTGTGCAATATAGAGATGGTTATTGGATAATCGATCTTTATCTTAAATCTTTAAATTTTGGAATAATAGGAAAAGTACAATGTACATCCGATTAAAAACGACTTAGAAGAATGGGAAATCGAGCATCGAGATAGGGGAATATAAGTCGAGAATCGGCTTCGAAACGCAATTGTTTTCTCTGGACACTGTCTTTTGTCTCTTAAAAATTGGATGACGAGAAAAAAGAAGCGGGTGTGGGCGAAAGATGACCCAGATCCACATCGATGCAATTAGCGAGCGAAAAGAATTGAACTTCCGGAGCTCGTTATTATTCCAGAAATATTATTTATCCTCGTCGATCTTATTCTTTCATCAATCGAAATTGACGAAGATCGTTCAAAGGTTAGGCGAGCAAAAATACTCAAAGAAAAATTAAGAATTCGAAAGAAATGTTTTTTCCCCCCTCCCCCAAGTGAGCATAAAAATCGTCGAGGATTATAATAAGAATATTAACGAGCGAGTGAATCGATATTTATAATTTGTGAAATTATTTTATCCTATTCTTTCTTCGATACGAAGTAATATTTCCATAAGTGACTTTATAACTGGCAATTTGAAATTGAAATTTTTATGAATTTCCTGATACACATGACAATCGAATACTCGCATCTCTCATAAAGATTCCATGATAAGGTAAATCTTATATCTTCGTAATATTCAAATATTAACACTATTGCGATTCAAATATTCCTTACGATATTTCTGGTAAAATTTCCACAATCTTCGACTATTCATTATTCATATTACATATATTCCTTCATATTCCTTCATATTATGTATTATTTGTTCACAAAGTCGAAAAATCTAAACAAAAAATGAGATAATACATTAAAAAAAAGTCATATATTAATTTAGAAAACGTGAATAAATCTTAACCATAATAAATTATATAATAATCAGATATTAACTTTATAATTGAATATAATTAAAAAGAGAAATAATGATAAGAATATCAAGTAAATCCTAGAATCAAAATTGCAAAAGAGAATTGAATAACGCAAATCAATTGAAAAAAATAAAATAAAATAGCAAATAAAACATTACCAAATTAACTCTTAATGGATTAAACGGTAAACTTAACCTAAAAACTTTCAGCTTCACTTTTCAAACGATTCTTCGAAATTTCAAATATCTTTGCCTACCATCCATCATCCAAAGTAATAGTATCACGATAAAGAAGAGAAGAAAAAGGGAGAAAAAAAGGAGAAAAGCTTAACAAAAGACGGGAAAAAAGTAAGAAAAAAAAGGAATAAAAGCGACGTAAGGACGAAAGGTCAAGCCTTGCACAACGTTTCACAGAGGGCCGTCGCGTATAGTATCCTTCGTTGAAGTAGTTCAAGGCAGAGCGCATCGGCGCAAACGCAACCTTAATGTTTCATCCTGCAGCGCCGCGGTTGCTCCTGCGCTTAGTTGGTCTGCAAAGGAAAAAGGGCGAGGCCCCCCACCTCTCAGTCCCCATGGAGACCGATCATTACCGGAGATTGCCGATCTATCTGTATCACGTGCTGCTCACTGGATTATACTAGTGTCAAAAATGCGATAATATCGATGATTCGTAGCATACTTCAGAAGGTTAGAATCTTTTTAGTTATATTATACATTTATTATCGAAACGTGATGTATTGCGATTTAAATAGCGAATTTCTCCAAATCTAACGCGAATATTAACAATAAAGTTTGTTGGCTCGATGTTCTATAATATTCCTATTCCGAAGATACTGTTAAATTTTGCTTAGAAACTTGGTCGTGTTTAACGTGTATATCTTTACTACATGGAAGCCTTTGAGGTTAAGAATGCTCTGAGTGGATGAAACGAGGCAAGTTTTATTTGTGAGAATGATTACGAGTGTGAATGTTTAAGCGTTTTGTGTAATTAATTAAAGTGAGTTGTGTGTGATACAGGAAATTGCTCGTTTACTCAGGATTTGGATGTTTTGGTAAAGTATCCTTGCAATTTAGCATAATTTAGTTAAAGTCGTGAACGTGATACGATTTTCCCTCTTTTGTTAATTTAAATGCAATGAGAAAATTGACATAAATGATCTAATTTCTTCTTGTACGTTATAAATCTTCTAAATTAACAGAAAATTTTTATAAATTAAAATTTCACTTTGAACTTTTTCTTAAATTGGCTATGCATCAGTATAATATATTATTTGATTCGTCCTAATTTCACAAACAGTATTTGATTCTTTGATCTCTTAATTCAAAGACATTTTGAAATTTCTCTTACTAACAGATCAAACTTAATTAACTCAACATGTTATAAAATATTCTAAATTTTCATTAAAAAAATTCTTCATTCTATTTCAACGTTTTCTCGATCGTATCTCGATCGAGAGAAGATTCGAGGAATCGAAACATTCTTCGATACGACACGATATCGATTCTCTATCGAATCTCTTACGAGTCTCAAACATGGCGTCCATCTGATTAGTGAAAGTGCAATTTTAACTGTAATTTTTTCATAAAAATCTTTAAACCAAAGTTTGTGAACACTTAATCAAATGTTTGTTTGCATTCGAGGAAATTTGCATTCGATAGAGAATCGGTATGTATCAATTTATTAAATGATATAACGATAAAATATTGCATTTTTTTGTAAACGATAATAGACGAAGTATCATTAAGTATTGTTGTTATTTTTATTATAAATTAGAATAATTTGAAATATTTTCCCTATTATACAGTAATAATATTTATAAATTTAATATTTTATAAATAAGGAGTTAGTAAGTTTCCAATGGAACTGAAATATAGGAAATCTAGAAATTCATATTAAAGTCTAGAATCTTTCGATCAAAGTTCATCATACAAATGATAATAAAATAAGCTTTAAAAAAAAATTAGAATATCCCTCTCACGAAATAGAAACATTCAACATATCCATTCAAAACATTTTAAAATATACGAACCAATATATCGACAGTTTCCAAAAATCAAATAATAATTAATACAAAATAGAAAATTCGTTCATGTTTACCTCACGAACCGTTCTCCATTCATTGAAAAATTGAAAATTTCTTTACACAACTTTCCAAGATGGATAATTCGATTACATCCAAGAATCTATCGAAATTCTCGAAAACGGCGGAAGTCAAGTCAGATGCGGATGGTTCGACAACCACGAACGAAAGGATAGACGCAGTGATTTCGAATGCAGAGCCCAACGAGGAAATATTCTCCTACCTTAGAAATATTCTATTATGCCGCAAAATCAGATTCGAATGGAAACGGCGAAAGACTCGTGGAGAATTGAAACGCGAGACGAGGGCGCGAGTGAAATTTCCTCCATCCCAAAGATAGAATCCTAACCTGAGGGTGATTCGTTCGGTTTTATCGCGATACGTATCGTGTATTACAATTCCATTCGTCAGGTGGATTGGCGGCCTTCGTCTTTTTTTTTTTTTTTTAATTGAATATCCGTCACGTGGACGGAGACCGGCATGGAAAAGTTTTATCGTCTACCCGGGAGACGAGAATGAATAAAAGCGAAAATAAAAGGAGGGAAAGAAAAGTCGACCGGCGCTCTTTTTCTCTTCTTTTTTTTTTTTAATCGCTCCGCCATTCTTGCGGCTAACGTCATCGTTATTCGCTCGCCTTGCACAAAGCCTGCACGCTGCAACGGGCAAAGGACACGCTGCTCAACCTATTTTTCCTAAGGCCTTCATTTTTCGTTTTTCTACCGTTGTTTACGTCCCTGGCCAATGTAATAGGCTGAAAGAAATTTGAAGAAAAAATGCTGGTATTAGCAGCGTGATGAGACAATAAGGGGCTAAAGTTCGATTTGATTCAAAGTTTGCGTTTTAAAAGAAGATAGAATAAATATTTTTCTTTTTTTTTTTTTTTTTTAATATTCGTGGTACAATTTTAGCAATTGACTTGACCGTGAAGTAAATCAACTTTCGTCTTAATTACGCAATCAAGGAAATTCCTTAAAGAGGAGAAGAAGAAGAAGATAATCATTATTATCCTCGTTTACAATAATAAAAACGAATAAAACGACGTTATATCAAAGTAACTAGTCTAAAAAGAGGGGGGGGGGGGAAAGTCTGCAACGCTTTTTATCATCCAAATTAATTTCCTGCATAACGAACAAGAAAGCTACGTAGCTTCACCCGTTTACGCGTAATAAATTTTACGAGACTAATTATCTAGCCTACATCCCGCTTGAGCCTCTCCCGCAGCTTACCGTAAAAAAGAAGAAAGTTAAAAAGTAATTAACGAAAAGCACGAGTGCAAGGTGCTTCCAGTAAATTTAATCGCAAAGAGGACGAACAACCCTAACCCACCATCCGTTTGCTTATCGTAAAATTCATCTTTTTTTTCTTTCTCAAAACGCGAAACCTATATATATATATATATATATATATACCT